ACTGGTATCTTGAAAAAAAAAAAAAAAGCGCGATCTTTACTTTCTTCCCATTTGTTTTCATTTTTAAACATGTCTCTCCTTCTTATTATTATTATTATTATTATTATTTGTTTTCACGTTCTTCAACAATTCCTTCCACTACGGGTTGGGTTACCAAATTAAATTTCATCATAATGGTTTCGATGCCTCTGGCCTTATACCCTCCTTCTCCTTATTCATATTAATTCTTGGGCTTGGATAATTGAAGAATTACAACCAATAATGTGCATCAATAAATTTATTTATTTATGTAAATGCAAGATTTTTGTTTAGTGGATTATAATTTATAGCTTTTTTGTTTCCCTGGTCAGTCATGCAAGTAAATTTTTTTTTTGGGTGCAAGTAAACGATTAAGTATTTTTTTATTAGAAAATTTTATTTATTTTTAAGAAAATTTTGACAGAGTTTCCCCTTATAAATGGACGAAAACTCCCTGCCAACAAATCCAAATTGAAGAAAAATATCACATGGCACTTGCTACATTCTAAGTCTACGAAAGTTTGAAAATCCCAATTGATCAAGAGCAGAATCACCTCTCACCAAGCGAGGCACTTCACATAATGATTCATATGTCGAAATAATTCGCTATTCCTCTCCAATGTTTGCAAGACGGTACCATCTGCACTTTAGCAATTCCTGTAGATGCTCTGGTGACTGCCATGAACACCGTGCTTTCCCATGAATGATTCCCTTACAACTTGTGTCCTAAAGTTGGGAAACGACATTGAATCTAGAGCTACAATGGCTTTAACCGCAGATGGCAGCTCTTGAGGTAAGTTAAAGACTCGCTGTGATCCCAAGTTCAAGCTGGCTAATTTACCGACATAGAAAAAGCAATGCATTTAAGATGCAAAAGAACAGGGGTAAATTATGATTGAACAACCTCAAGGGGCTAATTCCTAATTTAATATAATTGCCTATCCTTTGTGTTCTTGACGTTGCTGGGAGGGTCTGGTCCTGAGTCGTGACTCAGCATCGGAAATTCTGACGCCTGAGGAATGTTTATTAAACAAATTTGGTTTTAAGGAAAAAGATTCCCACTTTGGAGCTTTTCTGAATATTGTGGTTTAATCCCCGCATGGTTTTAAAATTGATTTTCTGATTTATGTTTGCTAGATAAACAAATTTTGATCCTCTCTTTCGAAGTTAAATTAACATGGGAGTTTCCTACAAGAAATCAGCAAATCAATTGAATATTTGTCAAATATTTTAAGCTTTTTTTCCTTATAAAATTACAAGTAAGCCACAATGGTGGGAGTAAAATAAATTATTACAATCCAACAATATAACAAAAATTACATTATTAATAAATACTAATAAAGTTTCTAAATGCATTTGATGCTTCTACAGCTGTTTCTCTTAACGATCACTCACAGTTTTGCTGGAGATAAGTGAATCATTCAAATCTTGAGTGAATATTCTGGTGTTTGAATTCTTCAAAACTCCATAAGGCAGCTACAGTGGTGGTTCCTTAAGGTTTAACCGTTGTGCATTTCTAAGGTAGCTGTTCGAAGCACAGCTTACAAAATAAGGGACAAATATAATATGCAATATTACTCAGTGTTTTAAAAACCAGACTGGAGCCAAGACTGGTTCCCGGTCTTTGCTTTCTAGTGCCGGACAAATGTAGTTATAGTCAGTGTTTTAAAAATTGGACCGGACCAACCGGTTCGATCGATCGGATCGCGAATCAGCCTTGACTCTGGTCCAGTTCATGCTTTAGGTTAATTATACTTAAAAACTGGATTGAACTGTTGAACCGGCGGGTTTTTTGTTTTTTTCTAAAAAAATATGTTTTCCTTAACCCTAAAAACTAATTATTAAATGCTACATTCACTCACTTTCTTCTTATTTTTTGCCTTTTATCAAGCTTGTATTTTTATTTTCTATTTTCTTGACTTCCTCCAAATTCAAAACTTCTTTTTTTCTTAAGTTGCAATATCTAAATACCAAAATTTTTGAGTTTTATTTAACATTATTTTTTTGGTAAATTCAATTAAGATTGAGATGAAATTTATTTGTTTTAACTTATAATTTAAAAAATTTATTTGTGAAAATCCAACTTCTTTGAAAATATTAATTTTTTCATCATATAAAGTCTTCAATTAGTCCAATGCATGTCTTATTTTGTGCATATATATTTATATAAATTATTTTTAAAAAAATTCATTGAACCAGGGTTGAATCGATCCGACCGATTGAATCTTGACCCGAACACCTCATTGGTTCAATTAATGGTCTGAGTTTTAAAACGTTGGTTATAGTTGATAGGTTGCGATTTTATCATTTATTTTATTATTAATTTCTCCTATTACCTGGCCCAATTTGGATTAATTGTTAGATTCTACTCACTTTTAGTATTTTACTTATATTTCAGGGAGTAGAACGAAAATACCATAATAAGTGCCGATTTAACAGTTATCAGGAAAGAGTTCAAGTAGCAGGCATCCAGGACATTTTTGGAACAAGGAGATACAAGTCCTTTTTAGTAATTTGCAGAGAGCAGCATTAAAATGAGGAACGAAGGGCTGAAGTGGGAGTCTTCTTCTTCCTCTCCGGAAGGGGGCCGCCGCGCAAGGAGAGCATTGGAATAGGATTTAGATAGAAATTTCCGTTCAGTAGCTTAGGCTTGTTTTCTTTTTGACTTTTCCTTTGTATGCCTTTCTTCCCTTTTGGTTTTCTCCGTGAATGTGATGAGAAAAGGATTGGAAAGCTTTTGACTTTTCCTTTTTCGTCTTTTAGTGGTTTGCTTCCTGCGGATGTCCAGACCGAAGGAAAACTATGAAGTACCTTTTGTAGCTTTCTTTCTTTATTGAATAGACGAATTGAATTCGCCAACTTCCGAATTGATGGCCGCAGCTTTTGCTTCAATTTCTTGTGGATTTTGTTCATCAACTATGAACTAATTTCCTCACCCTAGTCAAGGGACAACGGATGCTTTGGATCGCCTAAAATTGTGAGATCGATTTAATTTTATCTTTTTTATTTATTTATTGGTATTCGCATATTTCCTGGTTACAGTGCTTATGATTGTTTAATTAATTGATTGTCTTGGATCCGGATAATTAGTTAATTTGGTAATCTATTGTCAATTGGGACGTTAAATCCATAATTGTTTAATTGTCTCAAAATAGTGACGACTGGCATGATTGGGTTCGTGTCAGGGGAATACGCGGGCTAATCTAAAATAACCCTGGTAGTGCGTTATTTGATTAGAATAGGGCTCCTCTAATACGTAAGGCAATTGGGGAATTAAATTCTATGGGCGTACCTAGGATTATTTCTCAATTAGAGCAGTGATTAACGGGCGTACCTTAATCATCGACACAGTAAGGAGGGGTTGACTGTCATCGCTTGTTTGGCAGTTATAACCTATTTATTAGTAAATAATTGGAATTGCCTTTGCTCATCGATGATCAATTAGGTGAACCATTGCTGAAGTTATTCCTTGGCTAGATCCTTAATTATCATTCATTTGATTTTAGTAATTTGTTATTTAATTTTTAGTAGTTTCTTAGATTTTATTTGAACTTCTTTTATTGTCACCTTCTGCATAAAAACACCCCCTTGTTATTGGGAATTTAAAAAGAAACAATTACTCCCAGTCCCTGTGGATTCGACCCTGCTTACCACTATCTACAGAAATTAATTTTAGTTTGAGCAGATTTTTATTATTGCACAGGCTTCGACACCCTGTCAATTTGGTTATAGTTCACTAATGCATTCACACAAAATTGAAATACTAATGCATCGGATTGGAATTCAGTCGGATAGGTTCACGTATACATGTGTTGAAATCTTGCATTGCTGCTGAGACATTGGGCTCATTGAAGTCCCTAGAATACCCCTTTTGGGTTTCTCGATTAGGAGCATGATGGAAATTATGCGGTGGCGCCGCCACTGAGTTCCTTGATTGGAACCAAAATATAAGTTTAAGGATTAAATTGGTTTCAAATAATATATAGGGACTAAATCGATAAAAAATAAAAGTTTAGGGACTAAATTGGCCATTTTCCCTAATTAGAGGAACCAAATATATTGAATTTAGATTAAGAGCAGGGTGACAGTCAGAATACCACAATCAATTAGGCGCCAAAAGTTGTATACATTTTGGATAATTGTGGTACTTGTTGTCTTGATAATAAGATATTACAATAATTCTTATTTAAGCGTTTGCATACACACAAAGTATGTAAAACAATGGAGGAAAAGAAAAAGAAAAAGGAAAGGAGAGGCAACATCAGAAAAGGCCTTACAACTAAATAAAGTCACTCGTATTTTTCGCCGATGTGGATCCGGATAGGGATCCACTTCTGGCACCGGATCAAACTACCGCCAAATTTCCAAAGTTAGCCAGCTTAACAGATGATGCTGTGTTGTTTATGGAACCAGCGTTAGTTGGCCTCCAAGTGTGTTGGCAAAGAGTTTTTTTGGTCCTGTTGACAGCTTTAAGCTTCTCAATCAAAAAATGACGCTTTGCGTAACAAAACGGAAAAAGCTAGAATAAGCTAATTTATTATGGTCACACTAATACTTCCTTAGCTTCAATTTTTTGTCACATTTCGAGAATTTAACTTTTTAAAAATAGTATTTTGATTGTAATTTTTATACTTCTCTTTCCAATCTTATTCTCCAAAATTCAAAAGTTGAATATGAATGTAATATCCATATTACTCTCCAAAATGTAAAAAAAGGGATAATATAGGGAAAAGAGGTTATCCTGCAAAATTGTCAAAACTAATAGGATAGTAGACAAATGATGTTTAAATTTAAAATTTAATAGAATAGTAGGCAAGCATGCTCATAGTTTAAGGATTAAAGTAGGATGAATTTCATATTTTATAAATTAAAATAGTATCCAATATTAAAATCTAAGAACTAAAGTGGGATAGATTTCATACTTTAAAAAATAAAGTGTCCAATAATATTGGATATGGAGTGCTGAAGGATTGTTCATGGATATGGAGAAAAGTGTTGCAATTGAGAACTGTCATTTATCCTTTTCTGCAAGTGAGATTGGAAATGGTCAGAATACCTTTTTTTGGTATGATATTTGGCACCCGTTGGAGCGTTTGCATCTCAAATTTTCTGAACATTTGCTGAAGAATTTAAGGTTAACCAAGGATTCAAAGGTGGCGGAATTCATTGATTGGGATAGATGGAAGCGGCCCTCTGGGAGAAGATGTTCACAGGAGATCAAGGAACAGTGTCAATCAACTCCTGTCTCCTTGTTACAAAATTTACATAGGGATGATCATGTAAGCTGGACTGAAACTTTAACTGGTGAATTTAATATTATAAATATGCATTTAAACAGTTTATTGAATCTGGAAACAGGATGCAGTGGTATACATTAGTGTGGGGGAAGGGTTATATCCCAGGATATGCATTTATTTTGTGGCTAGCGGTCAGACATCGATTAAACACTAAGGCAAGGCTGAGAAACTGGGGAATTGCTGTATCTTCTACTTGTGTTTTCTGTGATGTAGATGATGAAACACTAGAACATTTGGCTTTTGAATGTGACTTCAGCCGTAGTTTTTGGGGCAAGATTCAAAAGCTGTGCTTATTGTATAGGGGAAATTCGGTATGGCAAGAAGTATATTGGTGGAGCAAGCATAATACATCTAATTCTTTTTGTCACAAGTTAAGGAGGTTAGCTCTATCAGCGACCCAGCATCATCTTTGGCAGGCAAGGAATCAAATGGTGTTTCAGCAGGTTAGACTATCTAGTGTGCAGGCTGTGACTAGGACTGTGAATGCTATTCGATTGATAGTTGTTTCTTGGTCTAAGATACCAAGGATCAAGGAGAACTGGGATGTAGTTCTTGAGTGGGGTTTTGACCAAAGCTGTCGTAGTTAGCTTACTTGTTTCCGCATTGCTTTTCTTTACATCATTTGAAGAGTGTATGGTACTAGTCTTAATTGATGTAAATAAGAGGAGTTTCCTCCAGTGTAAAACTTCATGTCTTGATCATTGGAAATGTTAGAATTTTGCTCAAAAAATAAAGGGTGTCCAATAATGGAGTTTGAGAACTAAAGTGAAAGTACTGTATAGTGTAAGAGTTCAAAGTAAAATTTAGTCATTTATTATTACATAAATGCATATTCCATTAAGAATGCAAGAATCTTATTGTCTACAAGAAATGAGATACATTTTTATGATGATAAACGAGTACAAACCCTTGCATCGGTGTAAACTTTTCCTGGTCGACAAAAGTAACCTTTCTGTGGGGCACAATGGCTATCTTGTGAGCATATGCATAATCCTTCTAAAGCACAACCATCCTTCATAAGAGTAATCCCATCTTTTATTCCAAGAATTTGGTCTGTCCACTCATTAGAAAACAGCCCTAAAGGATCATACAATTGTTTGACCTTCAAAAATTCGGTAGCATTTTGGTACTTGTTAATTGCCCCAACAAACGCCAAATTCCTATTTTTGCCCCAATGTGGTAGCCCTCCATATTTAATCACTGCCATTTGCTCTATTTCTTCAAGGATGTCTTCATACAGTCTTGGGGCCATTGGATCCTTGCTTCTATAGTATGTTATATCAAAGTCCAGAGCATCTTCTTGCTTTCCCAAATAAGCACTTGAAGCTGTAACATACCTTATGAGGAAACCATCATAAAGATCTACACCACACAATGCTCGAGGCTGCAAAACAACCAGCTTTTGCACATCTTGTATGAAATCTTTGACTTTTGATAAGCCAATGCTAAATCCATTTTGGAAATAATATAGACCCTTAACTCTAGGATCCCAAGGGCAGGAAGTTATTAATCCATCCTGTGGGCTATCAAGGCAGGAACCAGATGATTGGAGGCGATTGTTGTACCCTACGACAGGATAGCCCTTAAACATTGAATCTGTAACGCATTAATTAGAAGATACCTTTGTAAGTTACGGGAAACAAATATTCTCTTTCCAAACATATTTTATACTTTTGGAATCTAGATTTTCTTTTTTTTTTTTTCAGTTGGGGGTATCTGGGCCTACATCCGATTAGTCCCCCAACTCCGAGGAGAGCGGACCCCATCGATCCTTAGGAAATTACGTTGGATTGCTCGAACCCAGGCCTTTTCACCCTAACGAGGACTACACCACCCGAGCAACCCGTCGGGGGCACTTTTGGAATCTAGATTGAAGACTAAAAGATCATGCCTTGCTGTTGCATCTTGCATTTCCTTGAAAGTGTAGACATTAGTCAAACGTCTCATGTCAGTTTTGACCTAACTTTTTAGAGTTTATTATTGACTAAGTATTCGCATTCATTCGTGTTGTACACTCTATTTTCTTCATGAGAACATTTGAACGAAGACACTAGACATTAATCAAATGTCTCATGTCTTGCATCTTGCATTTATTTGAAAGTGTAGACATTAATCAAACGTCTCGGGTCAGTTTTGGCCTAACTTTTTACAGTTTAGTATTGACTAAGTTTTCACATTCATTCGTGTTGTACACTCTATCTTCTTTATAAAAACATTTGAATGAAGAAACTAGACCCATAGTTTGAATAGCAAAAATATCTCAAATAATATTTTGATTGCATCATAAATACATTTTCCAATCTGTTTTTTTATATTTTCAATCATTTTTTTATCTCATATACATCACATCATAAAAAATACTATAATAATTATTCCAAATAATATTTCAAATAATACTCTATCCAAACAAATAACTGTGATAATACTTCCATTCTGCTTCAAATGTTTGGATGATGATTTCGGTTAAATTGGTATTTATTAAGCTTTAAAGCTTAAACATTGATACAAGAAACTGGTCTACCCCAATGCAAAGCAATTATGAATCCAATAAATTAATATGCAAATTTCTGGGGATAGTCCTGTTTTGATACTTACACAAAATACCACACGAATGAAAAAAAAAGAAAGAAAAAAGCCGTGGAGTTATTACTAATTTGATTGTTTTTACGATGAAAAACTTTTGTCTTGATCATTGAAAAAAAAAAAAAAAAACAAAGAACAATTGATTGCAAAATTTAAACAGTAGATTTTGGAGAAATATATACCGTCGTTTGTCAATCCATATGCAGCGTTTGTCAATATAGATGTGGTTATGCCTCCATTTATGCATTTCCCAACAGCATCACGTATGGATTCTTGAGTCTCCTCTATTCAAAATTAAACCAAGAAAGCCAGAAATAGAACTTCAATTAATACATGCTGCCCCTTAAAACTACAAGTATCATTCAGCAAACTTATGTTGACTTAACCTACCTGCTGTTCTTATTAGTGCTAGAAAGAGTGAAGGTGTAGATCGAAATCCCATAAAATCATAAAGAGCATTTCCGGTGGTGTTGGAGGGGACTCGATCATCAATCCGATAAACTACCTTGCGTTGGCTTGGGTACCACGTGAAATCTGCAAACTCATGCTGTCTGCCGAAGGTGGAGGCTTGATCTCCGAAGTCTGAATCATTTTTCTGAACATATGTGATTGATCTCTTGAATAACGGTTGCAGTTGTAGAGTCACCTGCAAATGTATTATATATTTACTACACGGGAAAAAAATCCTTGGTTTTTTCTTTTTTTTCGTTACATTTCTTTCCGTAAGAAAAAATATAGGTAAGAAAAGAATTAATAAAGCATAAAGTTTCACTTTTCTTCTAGAACTTTTTCGAGTACGTAGTCCATAAAATGGCAATCTCTCTCTCTCTGCCCTTTTTGTGTGTTTTAGTACAAGAAAAAAAATTCAAGTCTTGCAGGGCAAAGTAGGAAAGAGAAGGCCTTGAGTTTTGAACTAGAGACTCCACGGTCACTACAGACTTGATAACTTTTCTGTTCCTCTGGAAACAATCTAGATTTGCATGGAGTATAAATGAAAATTTTTAATCAGATGAAGGAAAATCTACAATTTCCAACTTGTTTGGTGACGAGATAGGAGAGCCTACAGAGGATACATCTTTTTCTTCCCTAGCAGTGGCGAAACCAAAGGTTGAGATTTGAGGCAAGACTAATAAAGATGTGTATTTGCTTTATAAGCTCCAAGGAAAAAATGGATACGTTGCATCAAATCATAATTTATACCTGTGAAATAACTCCAAGAACTCCAAGCGAGACTCTAGCAGCATTAAGCTCCGGATCACCATTTCTCAGCGTCCGAACTTTTGCATAACCCTCATCGGGGCCTGCAGGCGTAACAATCCTGAGCTGAATCACATAATCATGAACAGCACTCCCCAAGCCCCACAATGTGCTTCCATGAGCACCCGTGCCCAACATTCCACCAACAGTTAAACCCCACCAATATGGAGCATAAGGTAGAGCAAGCCCCGCAGCAGCACTGGCATTGATCAGCTGCCTTAGGGTCACCCCAGGCTCAACTGTGATAGTCATGGCTGATTTGTCAACATTTACTGTTCTATTCAGGTACTTGGTGCTAATGATTATCCCATTTTCACCTCCTGGACACATGAGCTTAGGAATACTATGCGATGTTGTGGTTGCAACCTTCATTTTTCTCTGTAATGAAGTTGCATTTGCCACAATTGAAATCAGCTCTTGCTCAGATTTAGGGTACATTGCTTCAGCTGCACGACATATACTTCGATCAGGAAACGTGGCGTAGGTGTTCGTGATCGTGCAATTTGTGTTTCCTGATGAACATTTTATGTGATCTTCTGGGGGTGTACAGCCAACCAAACAAATTGTCAAGCAAATCCAATATGTCACCACAAATTGAATCTTAGCCATTTTTTCATAGGAAGATTAATTTCCAATACCTATTTATAACTCTGAGGAATTGCATTAATGGCTAAGTAGGGTGAGTGGTTGGAAAGCTAGTTAGTTGAACAAGTAATGTACAACTAGCTAGGATTATTTTAATCAGTTTTGAATCATTGAAAAACGTGGGGCTTTAAAATTTTTATGGTTTAATGTGAATAAATTCTCATGATTCTACGTAATCATGGAGCTTATCTAAGTTTTGCATCAAAAAATGGAACACGTAATCACACGTGCTATGACTATAACAATTTTCTACGACGTCAATATGCATACTAGCCAAGACAGATACTTATCAAAGCAGCTTATTTGAATAGCATATTTTTTGTCTTCTTTTTTCTTTTTATTTTTGGCCATATCCAATTTTCTTGGTTTTTAGAAAGGGATGCAGGTTCATAGGTAGATTAATTTCCAACGCCAGTATATATCTATATATTTTACCGTGAGCAATTGTATCATTGGCTAAGTAGGGTAAGAAAATAAGTTGAACAAGTGATGTACGACTAGAATTGCGTCAATTGACCGAATTTGAAGTTCGAAATATGGGGCACAAATAATTTTCTAATTTCTAATTAGATGGAAATCCTAATGATTCTGTATAAAATTATTATCCGAAGCCGGATTGGAGTTGTGCTGAATAAATGGAACATAATGTGGGAACCATTTCCATTTCCATGCAATTTGGTTATTTGGTGGCAACACTTTTATACCGAATTTGATGTGCTACGCAAGGCAGAACCGATCAAAGGAGCTTCCTATAATTCTTTCATTAATGCATTTCGCTTTGATTATTTGGCCTATACATACTTCTTGCTCCAGTTTTTTTTTCCCCTTCCAAATAAATTTGCTTCTAAATATTTCCATGCTCACCTGATACTAGGGGTGAGCAAATTTGGTACGTACCAAATTCATACTTGAATTTAAATTCAATTTGGTAATTTGAAATCGGATATTTGGCAATTTGGTACAAAAGCGGTATTTACTTAATTCACCGAATTCTAATATGGTATGAGATAGATAATGAGATTATGAATTTGGTAATAATTGATTTCAAATTCAAATTCGGTAAAATGAAATAGGGTACCGTATTACCGCATTCGAATAGCAA